TGAAAAATGAACAAGGAGTCTGAAGGCCTTTATGAATTGTTGGTATAATAAAGACTTGATCTGAGAACTTGCACGCTTGAAACATTAATACAGGAAAGCACACTTTGGAGGTAGAGAAGAGGTATGATTTTGTATACTGGGAATGTACCTGTGTGTTAAGAGTGCATATTAATAACGTGCACGAAAGCCCAGAATCCTAGCTGATGATCGACTTGCCAAGTGTCACTGGATAATGATACAAGAGAAAGTAAATGAGGAGGTTGTCATGACTGAAGTCTACTATTGGCCCTGAAACTACAAATATCAGTGACGATGTGTTGGTTTTTTTTTTTCTTTCTTTCGTTTCATGACATACATCATCTTCTATAGCATTACGCTTGGGTTTAGCAGGATCTTTTTAATTGGGAAAGAGCAGCCGCAGTTGGACTGTTGTTCCAAGAAATGGCGCTTGGGGCAACTTTCTGGAGAGGAGTGCTGCTAGAGCTGATCCTTGTGAACAAAGATCTTGACTGAAAATGCCAAACGGAAAGACAGCCTGAGTTACAATGACCAGGAAGTAACAGAATTAAAAAGTCTTTGAAGGAACAGGAAGCAGAGTCACCCAAAATAAGACTAGTAGATAAGATCCTACAGGAGACAAACTATAGAAAAGGACTTTCCAGGAGAACGGATGATTCCCTGAGAAATGGTTTTGTGGACGTCAATGCAGATTGTTCTAAGAAGAGTAGAAAGTGTGGCAAAAAGTGACATTGGTCAATCAGGAGTTCATAGCTAAAACACAAGAAAGGATTGTACAAAATGCGGAGGGAGCTTACTGAAGTTTAATTACACTTAAGAAAAATAGTTTTCTGATTAAAATTAGACAATCTTCCCACCCCACCCCCCGCCTTTGCTTTGGCCCTAGCTGGCAGAATCCATAAAAGCTCACATGAAGCCAGTTCATAAACATATGAAAGGTATGAGAAAGACCAATAATAAAAGTGATCCACTATTAAGTAAGAAAGAGAAGAGAAGTACAGATTCCAGAAAGAGGCGCAGCATTCAGCTTCTAAAATAAACACCAAGGCTAAGGCAAAAAACCCAACCGAACAAGCTGTGCTTATTAGAAATAAAATAGAAGCCTCTGTGGTTAGTAACAAGACAGAATAAGAAATGGAGTGGGCTGATGAGAAATTCTGTCTTAGATCAGCTCATTCAAATGGGGTTTGTTGTAATGCTTCACGGACTACCAGTTATCTTCAAACTACACCTTGAATAAAGCTGGGCTAGGTGACTTTTTGGTGTTTATCCTGGGGTGGGGAGTTGGTGGTGGTTTGGTTTGTTTTTTTTAAATGTCCTACCTGTAATTTTTACTTCTGGTTGTTGTCACAGGGAAGACAAGTGTAGATTATTGCAACTGATTTGCAACAGTGTTCGTATCTTTCTTGCAGAAGCCAAAAGAAGTAGGCACTGTATATACTTCTTCATACAGATTACATATATGAGAAATATAGACCATGTTGGCTATTAAAAAAAACCCAACGTATTTATCAGAAAGTGCTTTTGTATAGTAGGGCACTGAAACTTCTTGGTTGGTTTTAAAATTTCTTCTTAATCTCATTCTGCATTTCCTGAATTAAGTTTTCATTATCATTCTCTTTTTTCCCCCTTCTCTTATTTGTTTTGTGATATATTTAACAGTAGACTCTTTGGGGAGAGGCCATTGTATCTTAACGCCACATAGCTCTAAAGACAACAACGTGGTCTTAGTGTTGCCACCTTTAGGAATTGAATTAGATGTTCCCATTTGCATAGTATTTTTCCTCCGAAAAAATAAATTGCTTGTTATTCATGTTTCAGGTCGCAAAGGAGGATGTGCGAGGGGAAAAGGAGGATCAATGCATATGTATACCAAAAACTTCTATGGTGGCAATGGTATTGTTGGTGCTCAGGTATGTACACGACTTCTACTTCAAAGCACGAGTTGAATTTGGTTCGCGTCCTGTGCCAGTGTTTCCTCTCGTTTTTGTGGTGTGAGCTTGTATGCAGATACCATTGCTCTGCGGCTATTAAATCGGTTATGTCTTTATTCTGGTTTGCTCACTGTTTTGTAAACTGTAGCAAAAATGAATCAAATTGAGAATATAAGTTAATGTTTATATTTCGGCTGTAATACAGATTGGACCAAGTGGAAGTGGGTTGTTAACAACTTTCTGACGGTGTAAATGTCTCTTTACAGTTAACAAGCCTCCTATCTCCAACTCCCCTAAACATTATTCTAAAATTTTGGTTTCTCCTGTACTCTGTGATAGGTTCCTCTTGGAGCTGGGATTGCGCTGGCCTGTAAATACTTCGGTAAAAACGAAATCTGTTTGACGTTATATGGGGATGGTGCCGCCAATCAGGTAAACGAGCTTTGGCTGATGTGGCTCTGTGAGGAGCAGTGGGACTGTGGGTAGTCGATTTCCCTTCTGTGAACTGTGAGCTCTGCCTTTCCACCCAGTAGTAGGAGAGCACCTTTCACCCTGTCGGTGTAGTACCTGCAACCCAGGCAACGTCTGACGTGGATCTTATGCTGAGATTTTTGTGTTGGGCTTTCTGCTGCAAGGATGCTTTGTTAAAGGAGGCTGCTGATACTGAAAAAGCAACCCTGGAGAGAGAAGACAATGTACGCCCTCTGTCCTACAGTCCACTGCAGTTTTTCTTAGGGCTTTTGTTGTGAAGTGCTGTTTGCTGAGACCAACTTCACGTAGGTGGCTGGGCATCTTGCAAATTTTGGACACTGGCACATCTTGTTTGTGTTGTCTTAGGCGTTTGAGTAGGGGCGTGTTTCAAGTACTGTATAGTCTTCAGAGGAGTGGTTCAGATGAACAGTTACGAAGTTAATTGCTAGGTGCTCTTTATAGATCAGGAATGTAGCATGTGCTTGGATCTTTTTTTTATCATGCTTTGGATCTGTCTTCGTCCTTCGCCGCCGCCGTTTTGAACTCTGCCCTTGTCGCTGGAGTGGAGGGGGAGCTGCTCAGCTCCATCCCTCCTGGAGTGCTCTAGATGCTGAGGGAGTGAGTGGGGCTGATGGTTAATTATTTGAACACTGCACGAGTCGTGGGAGGAGGGGTTTCTGGCTACTCTTGTTATCCTCTTTCCAGCTGCACATGGCTCACCTAAGTGTGACACCCTGAAGTCTCTGTGCTGTAAGGAGAGCTCTGAACAACAGCAGTGAAGATGACAGTGCTGCTGAATAGGGAGAAACGTGTAATTTAATTTGTGAAGACAGAGGAAAGGACAGAGCATCTTGCAGAGCCACCTACTATTGACATTCCGGCCGGTCTTTTCATGTTATCAGCAGAGACATTAAGCCAGATAAGAAATTGGTAGTTTAGAGTGTGCTGTTGATATAATTTCCCACTTCGAAAACAGAAGTGGAGATCTCAGTTCTTGGTTTTCCCTGTCTGACTTAGAGTAGCAAGGCTGATGCAGTCACTGTGGTCAAACTTTTCTTTTACTTTGCTGGAGCAGCGTCCTGCCAGAGTAATCAGTTGTAAACTTTATGACTGTTGCTGAAATACTTCAGTTAAAGTTGAAGGTTTTGTGCTACCCTACCACAGATACTGAAATAGGTTTAAAAATTAAGTTCTATAAACTATTAGTTGAGATGAAAGTTACCTTATATAGTGTAGCTTCTTTTTTATTCCAAAAAAAAATCCTGCTGAGCGGCAGCAAGTGGCTGGTCTCAGACCACTTTCAGTATTAAAGTGTCTCCTAGCTAGACCTCTGCGACTGAACGATTTTTAGCAGAGCCTAATGCTTGAAGGCTGAGCTCCTTGTCTAGCTGTAACTTGCTCTTTTTCTTTCAGGGCCAGATATTTGAAACGTACAATATGGCCGCCTTATGGAAGTTGCCTTGTGTTTTTATCTGTGAGAACAATCGGTATGGAATGGGGACGTCGGTTGAAAGAGCGGCAGCCAGTACTGACTACTACAAAAGAGGAGACTTCATTCCAGGGCTCAGGGTGAGTACAACCCCAGCTTTTTTTGAGGAAGAGTGGAAGTGGGGGGATGTGTGTGGACACGCCTGCACAATACATACATATGTATGTATTTCTTTTAAGTAAAATATATTTATAAGTAATTTTTTAAATATAGGAAAATTTGAAACTGAATTCCTGTTGCACTTGTGGAAGTAGTGAATTTGGAAGTTTGGGGTTTGGCATTTTTTTTGCCTCAACTTGTAGTTTCCGTTTATCAGGTGGATGGCATGGATGTTCTCTGTGTTCGAGAAGCGGCAAAGTTTGCAGCTGAGTACTGTAGAGCTGGAAAAGTAAGTCTGTAATCATCATTCCTTTTCCATAGGTGAAATTCTTAGCCAGATTATGGCTGCATAAAAAGTTCCTCATCTAGCCTGTTTTCTCCAGTCACTTGCAACTTTATTTCCTTTTTTCTCCATAGTATTGAACCTGTAAGCAATTGAGTGGTTCTTTCTTTAATTTTGTTAGAATTTATTAACATGCAATTGGTATTAACCGAGCATTTAAAAAAATACATATATATATCCTGATACTCTGTCTTCTTTTTCCCCATTTCCATCCCAGTTAAATTCTCTTTTGATAGGTGTTCTGACTGTCAGGCAGTTGTGTTCTTTGTGAAGAGATGAATTAGGGGAAGCATCAAGGAAAGTAGTAATCATTCTATATTTGCCACAAACGGAAAGTGAAGTAAAAGTTTTGTGAGACAGCATTAATGTCTGTCACCCAAGTATGATACACTGGTTCTGAAGATTTTGAATATTTGGTGAAATAATGTTTGTGCTGGGAAGGTGCAACAGAAAAAGAAGGTGGTTCATACAGAAGAATGAGGTTCTGTGAGCGGCAGTCTTACAGTGGAACAACAGGCAATTTGAAATAGTCTGAGTAATGGCGGAATGACACCAGAAGGGAAGAAATTGTTTAATGCTGCTCAGTAAGAACATGAGAAAAAATGCTTTCGATATAAACATATGCTTTCCTTTGAAAAGAGTTAAGTTTTGTTTTACTAGTCGTGCAAATGTTATGTGAATTAAAATCATTCATCACTGGTGCAGTTCTATAGCGAATACTTGCTGCTGTAACAACAAATTGGTCACTCAAGGTGGTAACACTCGCTGTATTGTTTTTTTTCTTTTTAAGGGTCCTATTCTGATGGAGTTACAGACATACCGTTACCATGGCCACAGTATGAGTGACCCTGGAATAAGGTACTGTGACATTCTTTCTTGGCATTCACTGAAAGCAAGTAAGTACCGATGGTCAAAATCCTGAAACTGTCATGGATTCAATGTTTAAATCCATTGTGAAGTGCCTGTAAAGGTCATGATGAAATTGCTACGAGCAGTCTGGTCGCTCATCTCATTGCTCAGTTGATAATCCGTGGCTGTGTAACATACTTGTTTAACTTGCAGTGTTAGGAGATTTAGTTTTGAAACAAGCACAAAGTCGTTAAACTTCTGTGCTTTCTATTAATGAATTCTGCTTTCAGTGTGACTTTATGGTGTGTTCTAATTAAGCTTTGACTGAAAAGCAGCATGCTTTTCTAGGGTTTTTAGAGTATTTAAAATTCTGTAAGCTAAAACGCTAGGAACAGTTTGGACTGTCCGGTCAAGTAGGGCACTTCTTAAAAATACAGATATACAGGTGCCAAAAAGACGCAGGCATTGCGCCAACTGACAAATCTGAATTGATCTACATGAAGTAGGGGTGTGTCCCAGTGCTTTGTTGGCCACTCGTAGTGAATTGGAAGCAAGCAGCAAGTTATCTAGCCCCACCTTAGGGGAGATGGGAAGGAGGAAATGCAGCCCCTCGTAGGAACTGTCTCAGGCTGGGATTGCTCCCCTTTCCCTGCCTACATCATACTCGAGTCTGGAGCTACTTCAGCTCTGTTGCCGCTTACGCATCTAAGAAGTGTTGCAGATGTAGCTCTGCCACCCTTTGAGCGACGAATGTCACCGTATTTTCATTGCATTCCTGACAATTCTTTTTCTAAAAGTGAGCTGTGTCCAGAACCTCCCCTCTACTCAAGGGTACCCCTGAAGAAGTTCATGTCTTTGCTTGTCTCGCTCCTAGCTATCGTACTAGAGAAGAAATTCAAGAAGTGAGAAGCAAAAGTGATCCCATTACTTTGCTGAAGGACAGAATGGTCAACAATAACCTTGCTAGCATTGAAGAATTAAAGGTACAGCTTTTAGTTGCTATTTAAGCAAGCTCTTGAGCATTCACACACTAATGATCTCTGAAAAGCACATCATAGGGCAGCGTGCATCACTTGTTCTTTGGAGTTCTCTGAAGTTTGTTTTAACATCACTTTTACTGGTGGTGAAGTTTTGTTGCAGACCGACTAATGAAGTTGCGCTCTGCTGGAAAGGCGTTTTGCTTTCGGGTGCCGAGTGTAACGCAGCAGCGCAAGGCTGTGGGTATGGGCATTAGTATTTCAAAGACAGCTCTTGTCACATACAAACATGTAGAAATCAAAATGACCCAGGCTTTCTCGACTACCTCGGAAGGGGGGGAAGTCTCTGAAAGGGAAACTGTCAGTGGTGAAAAATCCTAGTGAAGGAGCCAGGAACCATCTAGGCAAACGTTGTAAAGACTTTCATCAACTCTGTGTTTTAAAAAAAAAAAAAAATTGACACTGACACTCTCCATGTTTCGCAGAATCAGAATTGAAAATGTAGCGGCTCAGCGGGGTCATGTTCCGCTGGCAGTAAGTTACCTGTACTATCCCAAAGGGACAAATCTGCAGTTCAGTAGGAAGGAAGTTTTCACAGGTTTTTAAGTTATGTTTACAGACAGTGTTAACACTAATTCTGACCAATACTTCATCATTGCGTTTAAATTGAAAACTACGCTGCTTTTTCTGAGCTGTCTTCTAATAAGCATCCATTTTTGGTTTAGGAAATTGATGTGGCAGTAAGGAAGGAGATTGAGGAAGCTGCTCAGTTTGCTACCACTGACCCAGAGCCACCATTGGAAGAACTAGGCAACCACATCTACTGCAATGAGCCACCCTTTGAAGTGCGTGGCCCAAACCAGTGGATAAGGTACAAGTCTGTCAGCTAAAGGCCTTTCTGTTGGCGTAACTTATTCTTACGAATAAGTGAATGCATTTACAGGAACTGTAATGACTCTGAAACAAACCTTAAGCTTATTTCAAAGCTCTTTCAAAAGAGGAAAT